AAGGGTAAACCAAAGGAGGAGGCTGCAATGCTTGGTAAGAAATGTACGCATTATCCTGCCCATGCAATTGTAACCCCTCTGTACAGTATGTTCACAAATAAATAAATAAAAATAAAATAAACTGGGCCTGGTGTACACACCCATCATCCCAGCTATGCAGGAAGGGCTAATGGATTGTAGTCTAGGCCAATCCAGGCATACATTTAAGAGCTTATTTTAAAAGCCAAAGCAAACATGGTCTGGGGAGCCACGGTTCAAGTAGAGACGGCCGGCCTGCCTAGCAGTACAGAGCTCTGAGCTCACACACCCACGGCTGAGGGAGGGGACAGGGGAGAGACAGAGACAGAGAGAGAGAGAGAGAGAGAGAGAGAGAGAGAGAACAGCAATTAACCAAAGCCAGCGATGTGGATCAGCTACAGGAAAACGGGTTCACTTCTCCAATAGATCCCTAGGATTGAGCCAAAAAAGTGATTAACTATTTTATAACAAATTAGACTTAATAAGCCTAGCAGCAAAATGCAAGTTGGGGATTTGGGGGGGGGGCAAATGCTAACTCTAATACGTCAACTATTTGTATTACAACACCTTATAATCACTAGGAGACTTTATTTTTATTAGCTTTAAATAGTCATAAGAGGGGTTCAGCTCATACGTTTATGAATACAGTGCCTCTTGATCAACTTCATCCACCCCTCCACTTACCTGCCTCCCTTTTACATATGTATATTGAATATTAACTTTAATGGTTTAAGTATTAGAAGAAGCTGAAAAATATCAATTAATTTCTTTGGTATGATCATGATATGGTAGCTATATCTAGAAAGTTCCTATCAGATATAAATTACTCAAGTATTTTTGTGGACACTAACTCTGTGTGTGTGTGTTTACTTCAAAATACTACTGCAACAAAAAAAGTTGGCAATTACTGACGGAGGACGTTTCAAACGGCAGCTCAAGGTACGATCTCTTCCTGTTTTGTGTATAGAGAAGTTCTGTGCTCTCAGAGTGAGATTACCATCATGGCTACAGGCAAAACGTCTGGTGAGGAAGCACTTGAAAGGAAGTATGTTTGTTCTAGAGGAGAAAGGACCCGTGTGGGAAACAGAGTCTGGGACTGCGGGCCTCTGGGGCCGGTGGGCTGCCTGGAAATTTAACCAGGGCCTGCCTTCGCTTCTTAGACCCACGAAGGTCCAGCTAGAATGAGGCCCCAATCGAAGATAGCAACTTCTCTTTTTGTTGCTTTCCCTTTGTGTTTTCAGAACTCGGTTTGAACTCAGGTCATCCTATGTACTGAGCAGGCTGCTGCCACCTCTGAGTCCAGCCCTGGTTTTCACTGATTAGTTTCGAGGTGGAGTCTTGTTTCTGGCTCTGATGGTCAGTAGGATCTGCTGGGAGGCTTCCTGTGATAACTGGAATAAACGCCACGCACCGCCATGTCCAGCTCCTCACCAACATGGTGTGTTGCCAACTCTTCTACCTGGACCTGCCTAGGACCCAGACCTTTTGGCATCCCAGAGAGGCCGACTTGCGGGCAGGAGCCACCGGCGCCCGTCTCCGGGACATCACAAGGTGCTGATCGGCCTGTCTGGCGCTCTCCTGGGCTCTGCTCCAAGGTCCCCACGCGTGACACCCCGCCCCCCTCCCGGCTGGGCTGGGCTGGAAGTCTCATTCATGACCGTCCCGCCCCAGCCAGCCTCACCGCAGGGACCCTTCCCACTCCCGCAAGGTCCCCGGTGGGCGATCCACGCACACGTCCAGACGGCTTACCCAGAAGGGAGCTGGTCAGCCAGGCCACACAGCTCTGGGCATCTGCTGCGCACACGGTCGCACTGACGTTCTCGCAGGAGACCAGCGTGGAGTCACACTGGGCGCAACTCAGGGGCTCTAGGAGGCCACACATCCGTGGGGGTCAGCCTCCGGTGGACGTTCCCCAAGCAGGCAGCCCGGGCCGGCAGCGTGGAGGAGCTGGCGACCCTGCGCTCCAGCCCCCCCAACGCCACTGCTCACCTCCCTCCAGCCCCCCACCCTCCACTGTCCACCTCCCACCAGCCCCCGCCAGACCCCCCAGTGGGGCCCTGGGTCTTCTCTCACCCACGGCTGTGATGGCCAGGGCCGCGAGGAGCCCAGCCAGGAGGGCGCAGCTGGTGGTGCCGGCGCTCATGTCTCTGGAGTGTGGGAGCGTGGGGCCTGAGCCTTGGCCTGCAGAGACACAAGGAAACAGCCCAGGGCTGGAGACACCGCACACCAACAGCCCAGTCCCGGGCCCCCTTTGGACATCAGCATCCCGCCAGGGAGAGCGGCGTGTGCTGTGCGTCCACTCCGGGATGACACGAGGTTCTGAACTGTTAATGCCTGTAGCCGCATCTTTGCACTGATCTAAAGCCCAGCGGGGCCGTTTCCTGGGAGCCAGGGCAGGTGCAGACGGGCAGGGAGACCCAGGTTCAGTTAGGAGGAAGAGGAGTCGACCGAAAGCCCATCACTGGACAGACCCCCGGCCTGATCGCCTCAGAGTGACACATCATCCTTTTGGCCTGTGGTTTCAGCGGCTCAGACTCTCCAGGGCCCATCGCCTTGGGCTGGCGGCAGGAGAGAGCATGGAGGACAGCACGGGAGGAGAGCATGGAGGACAGCACGGGAGGAGAGCATGGAGGACAGCACGGGAGGAGAGCATGGAGGACAGCACGGGAGGAGAGCGTGGAGGACAGCACGGGAGGAGAGCGTGGAGGACAGCACGGGAGGAGAGCGTGGAGGACAGCACGGGAGGAGCACAGGAGAGCGCAGGAGAGCACAGGAGAACACAGGAGAACACAGGACAGCACGGGAGGAGAGCGTGGAGGACAGCACGGGAGGAGAGCGTGGAGGACAGCACGGGAGGAGAGCGTGGAGGACAGCACGGGAGGAGAGCATGGAGGACAGCACGGGAGGAGAGCGCAGGAGAGCGCGGGAGAGCACAGGAGAGCGCAGGAGAGCACAGGAGAACACAGGAGAACACAGGAGAGCACGGGAGAGCGCAGGAGAACACAGGAGAGCACGGGAGAGCGCAGGAGAACGCAGGAGAACACGGGAGAGCGCAGGAGAATGCAGGAGAACACAGGAGAGCACGGGAGAGCACAGGAGAGCACAGGAGAATACGGGAGGACACAGGAGAGCACAGGAGAGCACAGGAGAGCACAGAGAACACGGGAGAGCACGGGAGAGCACGGGAGAGCACGGGAGAGCACGGGAGAGCACAGGAGAGCACAGGAGAGCACAGGAGAGCGCAGGAGAGCACAGGAGAGCACAGGAGAACACAGAGAACACGGTAGAGCACGGGAGAGCATGGAGAACACGGGAGAGCACAGGAGAGCACAGGAGAGCACAGGAGAGCACAGGAGAACACAGGAGAACGCAGGAGAACACAGGAGAGCACAGGAGAACACAGGAGAGCACAGGAGAGCACAGAGAACACAGGAGAGCACAGAGAACACAGGAGAGCACAGAGAACACAGGAGAGCACAGAAGAGCACAGGAGAGCACAGGAGAACACAGGAGAACACGGGAGAACATGGGAGAGCACAGGAGAGCACGGGAGAACACGGGAGAACACGGGAGAGCACAGCAGAGCACAGGAGAACACAGGAGAACACAGGAGAGCACAGGAGAACACAGGAGAGCACAGGAGAGCACGGGAGAGCACGGGAGAGCACGGGAGAGCACGGGAGAGCACAGGAGAACACAGGAGAACACAGCAGAGCACAGGAGTACACAGGAGAACACAGGAGAGCGCAGGAGAGCGCAGGAGAGCACAGGAGAGCACGGGAGAGCACAGGAGAGCACGGGAGAGCACAGGAGAACACAGCAGAGCACAGGAGAACACAGGAGAGCGCAGGAGAGTGCAGGAGAGCACAGGAGAGCGCAGGAGAGCACAGGAGAGCACAGGAGAGCACAGAGAGCACAGGAGAGCACGGGAGAGCACAGGAGAGCACAGAGAGCACAGGAGAGCACGGGAGAGCACAGAGAGCACAGGAGAGCACGGGAGAGCACGGGAGAGTACAGGAGAACACAGAGAACACAGGAGAGCACAGGAGAGCACAGGAGAGCACAGGAGAGCACAGAGAACACAGGAGAGCACATGGTGCTGTGTGTCCGGTCTCTGCCCAGCAGCCAGTTTTGCTTAGCAAAGACTGCGGGGCCGGGTCCCAGCCTCTCCTTCAGGGGCACACACCGTGGCAGCTAACTTCCTTTCACTAGGGTCCACCTTCTAGAAGTTCTACCACCTCCCGGAAGTGCTGCAGGCTAAGAGCACACGCCTGGCTGTTTGGAGGACATTATTAAATCACTCATCACTGAGTGCCAGGAAAGAGCCGGGCTAGGACCCACGTCCGGCTCTCTCAGATCGCAGTGTCTGTTTGTCTGTGCTGGGCTAGGACCCACGTCCGGCTCTCTCAGATCGCAGTGTCTGTTTGTCTGTGCTGGGCTAGGACCCACGTCTGGCTCTCTCAGAGCGCAGTGTCTGTTTGTCTGTGCTGGGCTAGGACCCACGTCTGGCTCTCTCAGAGCGCAGTGTCTGTTTGTCTGTGCTGGGCTAGGACCCACGTCCGGCTCTCTCAGAGCGCGGTGTCTGTCTGTCTGTGGCTGGTATCTCCCTATGGTCTCTTTCTATTCTTAGGAGTTCTGTCACGGCCACTGGTGCCATGGATACACACGCGTCGATTGTGCTCTACGGTGCTTTCTGCCAAATCTTTACTCTCCGCTGGTGTAATCCATCCATTGCACCCTTACTAGCACCTATGGGAGACTAAGGTCTGGAAAGGCGAACGAACGCACTCAGAACCAAGTTCTCACCCCTGGGCTGGTGTGAGACAGAGCCCCTGACCACCGCCGTCACCACAGGACCGCTCTCAGACACGGCTGCTCAGGGCCCAGCCGGAGCCCTCTCCCCCAGCCAGCAGCCCAATCCCTGTGCTCCTCCCACTGCTGGCCTGCAAATCGCATGGATTCCATCTCTGTGGCGTGCTAAGTTGTCCTTATGTGCGTTTGGATTCCGAGGACCTCGATGTGCTGCGTAGTGGAGAATGCAGCGCGCGGCCGCCCGGTCTGCACCGCCCTCCTGCCCGGCCGCCCGGTCTGCACCGCCCTCCTGCCCGGCCGCCCGGTCTGGGTCTGCACCGCCCTCCTGCCCGGCCGCCCGGTCTGGGTCTGCACCGCCCTCCCCTCCTGCCCGGCGCTCCCCCTCTCGACGTGCTCCCGTGGGCTGCAGGCGGCTGTGGAGCCGCCGGTGCTGAGCGCCGCCGCGTGGTCAGGGAAGGACGGAGCAGGTGCGTTCCCGCACGGCCCGCTTCTGCTCTAATACAGACGTCCAGGGGCGTCAGCAGCTCTGAGGCCGAGGTGGCCGAGGTGGCCGAGGTGGCGCAGGCTCCCTGCACGCCTTCAGCTCCGGAGCTCACTTGCACATTGCAACGGCTCCTGACTAAGACGGCACCCCCTGCCCTCATAGCGGAGTCCTCCCTACCTCACGCTACACGTGCGCCTTGTGCCACATCCTACACACGCCCGAACATCGCCCGGCATGAAAACACGCCATTCCTACCACCGACGTCATACATGTAAATCACATGCTATTCACACACCCCATGCACCATGTCCTACATTGCATATACTACACATCTCTCTCTCTCTCTCTCTCTCTCTCTCTCTCTCACACACACACACACACACACACACACTATAATACACACATTGCACGGTGATCCTCTGGTTGACTTATTAGGATCAGTGAAAAGGAAGAATTAACCCAGTCAGGAAGGCAAGAAGTCCGGATGTTTCCCCAACGGTCCTACTATTTAGAGACGCAGAGAGAAAGGCATGGCACCCAGGCTGCGAAGCAGCCTCGTGCTCTCGGTATGGGAGAACCCTGCGTGTTGGACCCGGGGTGGAGGGGGTCCCCGAGGCTGGGCCTCCCAGGGAGGGCCTCCGGGCTCACTGGTGTGAAGGAGGAGGGGAGGGCGAAGACGGGGTGGAGAGAGAGGTTAAAGCGCCTCCGCTCTTCTGTGTGCACACTTCATCACGAGCCTCATTTCCAGAAGGAAACGTGAAGGTCAAAGAGGTCAAGAGTCAGCTCAGTGGAACACAGCAGGCAGGCGGAGTGAGTCGGTCCCGCAGGGAGACTCAGAGCTTGCTGCCACTTCTGCAGACAGCAGGGGCCAATACAAGAGGTGGCATCCGTCTGTCTGTCTGTCTGTCTGTCTATCTATCTATCTATCTATCTATCTATCTATCTATCTATCTATCTATCTATCTATCTATCTATCTATCTATCTATCCATCCATCCACCTACCTATCTATACATCCCTAAACATTTCCTCCAGCTTGCAAAGCTCTCCCACAATGACGGTCATCTTACAGGAGCCAGAGCGTTGGAACATTCTGAAGACACAGCACAGCACAGAATAGAAAACACAACAGCAAGCCCCGGCCCCAGCCCCAGCCCCGGCCCCTGCCACTGCCCCAACCCCTGCCCCTGCCCCAGCTCCAGCCCTGCCCTCCCCTGGCTCCCAGCTTCTGTCTCCTGAGGGTGTGACAGCACAGGAAGCCTGAAGGGTCCAGGCCAAGCCTGGCAGAGCGAGCTGGGCGAGCCGGGCGGAGCGAGCTGGGCGAGCCGGGCAGAGCGAGCCGGGCGAGCCGGGCAGAGCGAGCTGGGCAGAGCGAGCCGGCCAAGCCGGGCGAGCTGGGCGAGCCGGCCTTGAACCGTCTCCCTCTGGCCTCAGCTGTGGCCTTGGAATCCCCCTCACCTTCTAGGCCTGTCGGGACGCTGGCTGGGAAGCGGCTCCCGGTGGGGCTGAGCGGGTGGGAGGCAGCTTTATAGAGCAGGTGCGGTGCAAGCAGAGGCAGGCTGGGTGGGGGCTGAGAGGCCGGGCTGGGCTGTGACCCTCACGTGCCACACCCACGCCCTCTACCGCAGCCCTGGGTCACTGGCATTTTCTTGTGTCTGTGGTGGCTCCCTAAATCACTTCCTGACCTGTGAACAGCACCCCTCACGCCAGCGTAAGGAAAAGCCATTTCTTTATTGTCCCTGAGGCAAAAAAAACAGCCCCTGTGTAGATAAAAAAAACAAGCAAGGCACAGGAGGAGGAAGGACGGAGCCGGTTCCACGGCAGACAGGAGGGCGTGTGGAGCTCCCGTGGCCGGGGCCGAGGCCGGGCCGATACAGGAAGCCAGGGACCGGCAGGTCCCGCTCCGAGTGAGCCAGCCCTGTGCGGGGAGAGCAGGCCTGCGTCCGCTGCGGGCCGCACATGCGTGAAGGCTGCCGGAGACGCCGCCTGCCGCCCGGCCACACAGCTCACCTGTGTGCCGTCCCGAGGAGCCGGCCAGGCCGCCCCGGGCCCCGCCACGTCCACGGCGCAATGGCGCCCGGGCTTGGACTGTGTGCCTGAGTTCCCGCTGCTCACCTCTCTGTGTCCTGACACCCCACAGATACGCTCATGGAGGAGCAGCGGGGGGCAGGTGAGCCCCAGGGCACGGCCCACCCCGACACCCCACAGATACACTCCAGCGGGGGGGGGGGCAGGTGAGCCCCAGGGCACGGCCCACCCTGGCCACACCTGCACTTCTGCGCTTCATCTTTGATGCGCTTGGCTCTCAGAAATCAACACTTCTTAGTCATGTGCTCCCCTGGCCTGTGATTTAGCCTTCTCCCCCCCTCCTCTCCCTCTTCTCTCTCTTTCTGTCTCTTTCTTTCTCTTCCTCCCTCCTCTAAACTCATGAACTCAACAGATGTTTCTGAGCACCCATGTTTCTCTGCTCTAGACATCAGGAGGCACCTGTGATCAAGGAGGCAAAAATCTTTACTTTCTTTGGAGTGTGTTTCTTGGAGGGGACACAGAACACAAATTCCCGAAATAAATAAGAAAGCCGAAATAAATAAGAAAGCCACAGGGGAGGTCAGGACACAAGATCTGAGGAAAACAAGACAGGGTGAGGCGTCCACACGGCTGGAAGGCGGGGTGAGGCGTCCACACGGCTGGAAGGCGGGGTGAGGCGTCCACACGGCTGGAAGACGGGGTGAGGCGGCCACACGGCTGGAAGACGGGGTGAGGCGTCCACACGGCTGGAAGGCGGGGTGAGGCGTCCACACGGCTGGAAGGCGGGGTGAGGCGTCCACACGGCTGGAAGACGGGGTGAGGCGTCCACACGGCTGGAAGGGCAGGATTCAATTTGAATCAGAAAGTCAGGATTGTTTGAGGGAGGAGGCAAAACAGGAGTCGTACACTGAAGCAGAGCTTTCTGGCCATCTCTTCTAGAAAGTACGGTCAGCACCCTAATTCACCAAAAGAAGACAGAATGCCTGTTCCTAACACCAGCTCAGGGATGCAAACCCGGAACTGAGGCCACCCCCAGAGAAGCACCCTGGGGTCAATCTGCAACAATTATGGCTGTCCCTTGACCCTCAGCCATGCTGGGGGCGGGCTTCAGAAACGTAATTATGTTCACATACTTGCCCAAAACAGTATAACATATAGAACGAGTTTGACCAAGCATATTAAAGACCTCTATGACAGAATTATGAAATATAATGAAAGAAATTGAAAAAAAATCGAAAGACTTCTGGTGATAATGGACTCGGAGAAGCAATGTTGAAATGCCCATACTCCCCAGAGCTACTTACAGATTCAACGCAATCCTTGCCAAATGTAGAACTAGAAAAGGCAATACTAAAATTTATATAAAAGCCACAAAAATCTCAAATAGTTAAAGCAACCTTCAACAAAAAGAAGTATGTAGGCATCACAATATCTGAGTGAAAACATTAAACCAACTGTCATACCTAAGCTGCCATGATACTGGCATAAAAGCAACATGTGCTTTTTACTGGTGCTAATTACTCATTCTTGAATCAAAGAATGTTTAGAAAACCAAGCTGAGTACCGGTGGCTCACACCTATAATCCTAGCAATTCAGGAGGCTGAGATCTGAGGATCATGGTTTGAAGCCAGCCTGAATAGGAAAGTTTCTGAGATTCTCATCTCTTGTTAAGCACCCTCCCCCCAAAAAAGCCAGAAGTGGAGCTGTGGTTCAAGTGGTAGAGCACTAGTCTTGAGCAAAAAAGCTCAGAGACAGTGCCCAGGCCCTGAGT